AAATACATATTTAAAATTAAAAATATAATAAAGTATAATGATTAGATTAAAAATAAATTTATTATAAATAATTAAAAATAAAATTTTTTAATATATATTTTTATATAATTGAATTAAAATAATAAAAAAAAACTAGTTAATTAAAAAAAAATTCTAAAATATTATAATAAAAAAGATAAAAATATTATAAAAACATTTAAAAATAAAATAAAAAAAAAATTAAGTAATTTATTTATTTATTTATTTATATATATTTATATATATATATATATTTTTATATATATATTCATTTTTATTTTTTTCTTATTTTTAAATTATTTTATTTTATTTAATATAATATTTTATAATATTATATAATATATTTTTTTTTATTATATTTTATACTAATCAACTTAATAAAATTTTATTATATTTTTTATTTATGTTTTTACTTTGATAATACATATTTAACTAATATTATTATTATTGATTTTATTATATATATTAATTTTTATTTTGCATTGCATTTTTTTTTTTATAATATTTATGTTTTACTATATAAAATATTCTTTTTATTAATTAAATTTATTTTTATATTCTTATTATTTTTTTTTAAAAAAATTATGTATTTTATATATATTTATCTTTTTTTATGCCTTAAATATAAATTGCTTTTTTGTACTATGATCCTTATTTTTTTGTATGCTTCTTTATATTTAAGGCCTAAAATTTGACTTAAATTGGTGGCTTTAATGCGATAAGATTAGCTTTAAAACATTTAAAAAATTTTTACTTATATTTTATTTTATTTAAACAAAATAAAATACTAATATTTTAATATGAATTTATTTAATAAATAACAATTAATTTTTTCTTTTTAATACATTAAATTTCAAATCAATAGTTTTATAATTCAATTGAATAATTTCTTTTATTCCCACTATATTTATCACTAAAAGAATCTTTATACTTTTTATCATAAGTTTACTCGATTTATAATGAATTGCTAACTGTATATTCAACATCAAACCTTAATAAAAGAGTTTCCTTAACAACTTTATATTATTTAATTCCTGGCTAAATATAAGTAAAATCTGAAAATCGATTTAATTTTGACTTTTCTAAATTATTAATAACTTCGATTTCTCCTTTAATAACGTATCCTCCATAATTTAAACTAATAAATTAATTAACCATAAGCATATAAAATTAAGATTTTTAGCAATATTCATTAAGATTATTTTCTTCCATATTTTTAAGAGGTCCAGCTTTTTAATCGAAAATTTTAACAAAATAAATAATTGATCTAAGAAATATTTTCTATTAAAAAACTTTATTTTACATCATAATACTTCTAACAACTCCCAAAGGTAAACAAATAAAACTACTATCTATTTAAGTTATTGCGGTTGAAAATGAATTTTCTTCATTATTATTTCTTGTACAGTTTGCGAAATTTAAAAATCCACCAATTCCGATATTTAATGAGAACTCAGGTGTTAGTTTATCTATTACACTACCTGATGTTATTATATAAATACTTTAAACAGGTTTATATTTATTATAAAGTTCTTATTCATGCTACATAGTGAGAGTTTGTTAAGAACTTGTTAATTTATTTAATTATTCAGAAGTTAAAGAACTAAAAATAGGGAATTAAAGAATAAACTATTAAAAAGTAGGAATAGACCATTCAAAAGACATGTTTTGCAAAACATTTTATTTTTAATCTATTCTTTTACATACATTATCAAAATCTTCATTATCTATATATCCATTTTTTTTATATTTTTGCAAAAATTTTTTTTGATGCTAAATAAGATTGAATGCAGCTCTTTTTGTGTGGATTGCTTTAATTACTTCTGAAAAATTGTTTTATAATTCTAGAATGTATTTTTCAGCACGATCAATATTTAATTATAATTCTTAACTTACTTCATTCAAAAAATCTTTCCTTAAAGGAAGTTCTTTTTATACTTCTTTTATTTAATTTGCTATTATTATAAATGAAGTTGATACTTCATAAATAAACGCTAAATGATGGGTTAGGTATTTTTTAGCTAATTTACCTTTTTAATTTATTTATTATTTTTATTTAAAAACATTTTTATTACCTATAAACATTACATCTTTTATTGCAAACATGAATTTAATCAATTTTAAATTAACAAAATTAATATATATTAGATCCCATATTTATAATGGTTTTTTTGTACTTTCTAATTACATGTTTATTCCATCTTCTAATAAATGTGCTGCTTATTCACTTGTTTATGATTTATCATAATGCTCCCACGATAATCTTTTAAGATTTCTTAACAATTTGAATCGGATTTCAGTTAAAATATCAATATCATTAAAACCTGTATATGATGACTTATGAGAATCTTTATTTTATTCAATATCAGTTTTAAATTATGTGATTCCTGATATATTTTCAACTTTATTCCATTCAGCAAGATATAGAAAAGTATTAACTTTCAGTTCTTTTTCTTTTTCAATGCAACTTATGATTAACTCTTTAATAGAATTTTAAAAAATCCTTTTTCTAATATGAGGAATTTAAATTAATTTCAAATATCTGAAAGCAAATCTAATTTTTTAAAATAAATAAATTATAAATATATAACATTATTTTTTCAAATCAAAAAAAAAACCCACAAGTATTTCCATTAATAATCAAAGTAAGACTAGCAATACCGGCCATATAAAGCATAGTAATTTGTTTAAATCTATTATCTTATATATTACTATCAACCATAACCATAAGTGCAAGGGTTAATCCGATAACGCCTCTTAAACCAGTCCAAGTAAGTGCATATATATCAACTTTTGAAATTCCAAAGCCAAATTTTTAAAGTAGAGGATATAAACTAAGAATAGTAATATATCTAGAAAAAATCATTATTACATAAAATAAAAAAAGTTTTATCCAATCCGATACTTAAATTGTTGAATTTTCTTGAATTATTTCAAGTGCAATTATAATTCCGGAAAATATAAAAATTAAAGTTTAGCAAATATATTAAGCAAAAGACCAAATAGTATGTACTGCATGTTCACTTTCTGAATATATTTTTGTTTTCCCATATGCTGACATAAAGAGCCCCAAAAAAACCACAGAAAGTATACCTGAAAAATTTAAAAAAGTGAATTCTGCAATATAAAAACACATATAACAGGTTATAAATGTTACACAAGAAGTAAGAACATCATCTCTTATAATCCTTCGAAGCCAAAAAGAGGCTAAAAAGCCCATTAAAATTCCTAAAAGAGGTCCTCCGATAATAGATCTGAAGAAATTAGAGGAAAGCTCTAAAAAAGAATTATGAGTATTTTTTTCTATATTCAAAAAAAGCTAATAAAAAGTCATTGAAGTTCCATAATTTAATAAACTTTCACCTTCTATTAATGTATATAATTTAATTGAAGAACCTATTTCTTTAAGAATATTTATAATAGAAAGATGATCTGTTGCACTTAAAATGCATGCTATTGTAAATGCGCCCGACCATGATATTTCTGAATCATAATTAAGAATTATTTTTAATGAAAAGGCTAATAAAGTGGCATTTATTAATACACCAGGAATAGCTAATATCATTATATTTACTAATGAACGCTTGAATATATACCAATCTGTATTATATCCACTCTCAAATATTAAAATTGGAATAAAAATTAATTGGATGATATGCGGGTTTATTTTTAATATTTATTATGTACCTTCAAATAATAATTAAAATTAAGAATCAAAATAACCTAAGCATATTCCGCATATTATTAACATTGGATTATAAGGTAATTTTAATTTTTTTTAAATTTCTCGTAAAAGTCCACCTAGAAATAAACAAAAGAAAATAAAAAAAAATAAAACAGGGGAATTCATTTTTATATTTTATAAAACAAATATTTAGTATTATATATATATTATTAAAATTTAATTTAATTTTTAAATATTTTAGTAAAAAGTAAAATTATTTTAATATAATTAAAAAAAAAAAAAATAATTTTAAAAGAATTTATTTTGACAAAATAGAGAAAAAAGAAAAAAAAAATCAAAACTAAGAAATATTAGGATTACTTTAAACCTTTAAAATAAGTTCTTTCATAGTTTCTTTAAATTCGTTAAAACAAATAAAAGAATCTCTATCTTTATCAAATTTTTTAAAAACTTAGGAAATAATTTCGTCACTTAGAAACTCTGCTGTTTTTTATACAAGATATTTGAAATCTTAATAGCATAGTTTCTTATTTTCATCCTAACTATTATTAAATTTATTAAAAAGCAGTTTAATATCAACTTTATAGTAATCAACATAAACAGCTAATCTTTCTGCCATATAATTTGCTTTTTCTTCCACAGTTTTAAGTTTATTAAATAAACTTTCAGTATTCTCAATATTCATGTTTTTTTAAGAACTTTTATTTTTTGATTGACTTTAAAAATTTCTTTTTTCTTCTTCTTCTTGAAGTTATATTTGAAGATTCAAATCTTGAAATTTTTGAAGATCTTTTCTTTTTTGTTAAGCATTTTCATGGGTAGACATTCGAATATTATTATTTTTAAGCCATTTAGTGAATTCATTAAAATCAATTTTATTATCTTCATCTCCATCAAATTTATTAAAAATATATTCGATTTCTTCTCTTGTTAATTGAGGGTCTATTTATCTCATTAATGATTCAAAAGATTTCATATTTAATTTTGAATCTTCTGTAAGTTCAAAGTTTTAAAACAATTCCATCAAATCTGTATTTGTTTTATGTATTTTTTATCTCAAATTATTTATTAAGTACATTGCTTTGTTCTCTAATTGGTATGTCTTTTGTAAAAACTTACTAAAATAATTTCCAAATAGATTATGTCTATATATTTCATCCCAACTTATTCTACTGTTCTCCTCTATTTATAAGCATTTGTATATAAAATTTATTGCTTCTTAGCTTATATTTACTATTCCATTTACTTAAAATTATACTGGAATATTCTTTATATCTTTTAATAATTAATATTAATTTGTTACCCCCCAAGGTGTACACCCATATAACATTTCATAAAATATTAAGCCTATACTCCATATATCACTTTTAGATGTATATTTTTCGTACATTAAAATTTGCGGACTCATATATAAAGGAGTACCAACTAAACTATCTAGCATTTGTCTTCTAAAATTATCAACAGTACGTGCAAATCCAAAATCTGCTAATTTATAAATAGATACTTATGGCTTATTATTTATATGTTATTTAATTAAATATTTTTTATTTTACATCATTTTTATTAGTTTATATTAATATATTCTCAGGTTTTAAATCTCGATGTATTATTCCGTATTTTAATAAATCTAAAAAACCACTTAGAATATTTCTTAGAACATATTTTGCTTCTTCCTCTTATAATGTTTTCTTTTTTCTTAAGTACGCACGGAAATCGCCTTAATCGCAATATTCCTGGACCAAATAATAGTTATTATTTGTTTCTAAAATATCCAAGCAACGTACTACATAATCAGAATCTAAAATCTTCATTATACTTATTTCTTATAATATTGTATTCATTAAATATGATTCTTATTCTAATAAAGATTTCTTTATGACTTTTATTGCCACTATTTCTTCTGTATCTTCGTTTCTGCCTTTGTATACTGAAGCAAATTAGCCTTTACCTAATTTGATTTTTGGATTATATGTATAATTTCCTATTTTTTTCAAATTTCCTTCAGCCATAATAAATTTTTTGTTTTTATATTTTTCGGCTTATAATTTTATTTTTATGGTTTATTAGTGTATTAAAATCAAAAATTATTTTTTTAAAAAATTTTAAATTTTATTTTTATATAATTCTTCTTTTAAAAGCAAAATACAAAAAAACATTTTTCAATAATATAAATGAATTTAAAATAGCATATTTACAAATTAAAAATATAATCAGGCTCATGAAAAAATATTTTTGTTTGTTTCCTCTATATATTGTATTTATATATTTTTTTTCTTTTTTAATATCATAAATAATTTTGATTTTTTTTTCTTTTTTTAAAAATAAATTTTTTATGCTAATGGTTAAAAATAAGTTTAGATTATTTTAATTAAGAAAAAACTATAAATAAAATTTTTAGAAATTATTTGTATTTACTAAAAAATGCATAATTAATTAATAAAAAAAATTATTGAATAACCTCAACTAATAATGAATATCATGATATATTCATTAATTTATATAATAATTATAAATTTAAGTATTAAGTCTATTTATTTTAAAATTAATTATTAATTTTATTTAAAATTATTTTTTCGTTATTGACATTATAAAATTAATAAAAAAAAATGGGGGGAACTTAATTAATATTCAAAATTTTATTAGAAAAAAAAATTAAAAAAATAGTCAAATAAAAAAAATTATATTTAGAGAATATTTAAAATCATACAGCTTTAATGAACATCCTAAAATTAAATAGTATAAAAAATAGTTCAAGCATAAATAAAACTATTAGCAATTTGAGAATTTTTTAATATATGCATTTTGTTTTATCATATATAAGTTAAAAATAACATACTATAAATATTAATTAATTAAGATATTATCAATTATTAAATAAAACACATTTTATAGTTATGTCTTTTTTTTTCAACAAATGTGAAATTAAAAAAACATGAACATAAAAATGTGAGCATTTTATTAATAAATATCATAATTCTTATATAAAATATATGCTCATTTTTTTAATACTTTTAACTTATGTTTTTTTTTCGAGTAATGTAACAATTTTTCATATTTATAAATTATTATAAATATATAAAACCTTTATATTTCAATTAATTAAAAAAATACATATTTTTATTAATTTTTTTTATATAATTTCGTTTATTTTTTTAATAACATTTATACTTTTAATACTTTTATATAGTAAAAATTATTTTAAAATGATAATTCATTATTAAATAATAAAAGAATTCGGAGATGATTTTTTTATCTATTTTTTGTTTTTCTTATTTATTTATATATATTAATAATTTTTATAAACTTATTAAAAATAAAAAAAATTATCTTATTTCTAATATTTGTTATATTAAAAAAAAAATATTAATTTCTTCTTATAAATTAATGATCAAATATTATATTATATAAATTTTTTACTTATATAATAAAAATTATTGTTTTTGAAAATTTTCTTTATATACCATATTTTTTATTATGGTAAATATTAAATGGTTTTTTAAAAAGAGATCAAAGAGAAAAAATAAAATATTAATAAAAAAATATTGATTATGGTCTATAAATTTTAATTTAAAACCACCAGATAAGAAAATTATCAAAATATAGAGGAATTTGAATACTAAAGATACAAATCTACTTTTTTGAAATATAGGTAGTTCTTATTTTTAAAAAAATATAAAATGAAAAAATAAATATGTAAAATTAAAAAAGCAAAAAACAAAACATAAATATAACTAAATACAATAGATGATAAATAGTAATATTGTTTTTGAGATATAAAAAAATCAAATTGAAATTAAATAAATAAATAAAAGCAAAATTAATTAAATACATTTTTTTTACATAAAAAAAAAAAATTAATAATAAAAAAAAATTAAAAAAAATAAAAAAAACTTTTCAATCCAAAAATTATAAGTTTTCTTTACATTCTTATGTAGGTTTCCATAATTTAATAGTTTTATCAATGGATCCGCAAGCAAAAATGCTCTCATTTTATTAATTATTAATTTAACTTATACAGTTAACCTAGACAAGTCCATTAGAAATATCAGAAATTTCCTTAAACTTGTTATTGTTTACAGTAGTGATAATTTTGATTTTTCCATCTTTTTATCCGACATAAACCAAGTTATTTTAAGTATTTGATTCTATGCATAAAATTTACTAATTAGAGTATTAAATTTATTTTAAATTATTTTCAAAATTTCCTGTTCCCCAAAGTTTTATATTATGATCTTTAGATCCACTTACAATATTATCATTCAAAACAGCTAAAGAAGTTACAATATCATAATGTGGAGGCTACAAAGGTTCTAAAGAAGTAGTATTGTTTTCTTAAATAAAAGGAATTCTTCGAATATAATGATCTCTACTTCCACAATAAAGTATATTCTTATATGTTAATAATGCAAAAAAATCTTGATTTTTTTCCTTCTCTTCGACTATTTATTATTTTCTCAGATCCCAAAATACAAGTGCCCCTGAATTCTAACTTCCTTTACCACCCGCTAGTAATATATTATTAAAAAAAAGAAGTTTTTTTATATCTTCATTCGAACTTTTTAAAGCACATACTTTCTATAAACTTACCAAATCCCAAATATTTATATATTTATCACAAGCTGTTACAATCATTTTTTCATCTTAAATAATATACAGACCTTTTACATTTCCTTATTAATGAGCATTTATATCACTGATACTTTTTTAGGCTTCAATATCCCATATTTTAAGACTTTTGACAGAAGTAGAAAAAAGCAAATTTTCATGACTTTAAATTTAATATACTTAAGACTAATGAGCATCTTAAATTTTCCATTTACATTCCCATTTATAAATTGAATTAAAAATGGCTTAATCTTAATTAAAAATCTGATTGTTAATTGTTTGATTTCCATCATTCTTTTATGCCTGAATATTTGGGTTATTTTAGGTTAATGAGGTTAATAAATTATTTAATTACTCGTATTGGTTTTCTTGAAAATAATAACTTTTCTTTAAATTTATTGGAGAGTTAGATTGTGAATCTTTAATTTTTTATGATTATTCTTACTATTATTATATTACTTACTATTATTAGATTTGTTATTACTATTATTATTGTTGTGATGTATGAATTTATTCCAATTATTATATTAGTTCTGCAAAATTATCTTTTTTATAATCAACCTCTCCTACTATACTTTTTTTAACTTGTTTCCTTCGATCTTTTAAAGATGTAATTAAATTATTTTTTTATTATTGTTGTTACTATAAATTATTATTTATATTATCTTATTTGTTTAAAAAATTCGAATTACTTCTTGAAAATGAACTAGGAGTTTTTAAATGACTTTTACTTCCGCTAGCTTTTTTTTAACTTTATTCAGAATTATATCCTTAAGTAGGAGTATTATTCATACTATGAATAATAGAAGCCTATTATTCTAATTAATTATTTGAATTTTAAATACTTATATGGTTAATACTTAAATTTGAGTTATTATTTTATTTAGTATTAATATTAGTAATACTTAAATTGTTATTAGTTTAAGGATTAAATGCAAATTATGAATCATCTTGTTAAGATGAATTCTATTATGAATTATTATTTAATTAACATGGAGTTCCTCCTTTTTTTAATGTATTATTTAATAAAAGCTAAAGGATTTACTCACATGTTTATTGCTTTTCTATTCCAATAAATTTATCTTTTTTTTCAATTTTCTTTAAATTATCATATTTTTGTTAGAGTGTTTCATTTTTTTTATAAAGCATTTTTTCTTACATTTCACTCATTTTTAATTTTCGTGATAGTTCTCCAATCATTTTTTACAAGTTTTTGCTGTTTTCTTCTACATCTAATGCATGTATTGATTTTATTCTACTATGATTGATACAATTATTATTAGTACTATTTATCATACTTTTGTTATTTTATTCATAGTTGTTATTATCTAAATTGAATTAAGATTTAAAATCATTAATTTATGTGAATGTTAAATTTTTTTGTTATTATTATTATTATTATTCACCAAGTATTCGGTTTTATTAATAAAGTATATCAATTTATTCTTTATACTCTTGCTATTACATTTCAAGTACTTATGTTATATCTTAAGTTTTTAAAAGTTCAGAAGTAATATTGATAAAAGAACTTAAAGCACTTTACAGATAAATTTTAAGGACATTAATATCTTCTAGTTTAATAATATCATTTTGTATATTTTCAAATACAAAAGTATCTTAATCGTATAGTTTTTAAATTTTTTATTTTTAAAATTAATGCATATCTTCTAAAGTTTCTATTCTATTTTGAATTTCATTTAATTATATAGTCTTTTCTTCATCGATAACTAAAGAAGAACAAGTTTCTTACTTTAATTCGATAAGTTTTTGTTACATTTGTTATAATTCTAATTATATGTTTTATAATTGTTATTCTTCTTTAACAATTTTATTGTTTATATTCATTTTCTATACAATTTCATATAAATGTTAATACATAATATCTTCATATTTACTATCTTATTATAATTATTATTATTATTATTATTATTATTATTATTATTATTATTATTATTATTATTATGTATTTGATTAGTTTAATTCAATAACCTTACTTTATTTTTTTTAAAGTATTATTTGATCTGATTTTCCTTTATTGATATTTTAATTTATTTATTTATTTTTTTATAATATCTTCTAGATAAGATTTTTCGAACGAATTAATTTTTTTATATCTTCTTATTTTTTTAAAATTTAAATTTCTTACTTTTTATTCGTGTTTTGTAATTTAAATATTTATTTTAACTTTTACACATTCTCGCGTTTTTCAGCCATTAAATCTTTGAATTTTTTCATTTTGAATTTTTCAAAATCTTCATTATTTTTTTTAATTTATTTAAATAATGTTATTTTAGCGTGTTTATAATTGTTTATTTCTAATTAATATTCTGCTATTTTTTTTTCCTGGTTAGCAATAATTTTTTACAGATTTTCTTATTCTTTCGCTTTTTTTTTATAATCATTTAGTTAATTTATCATCTCTTTGTTTCCCCCAAGTTTTTTTATTTAATCTTCTAACTAAGAAATCTTTTAATGATATTGGTCTTTCATTTTTTCTAATAATTACTATTGGTTTTTTATTTACTCAAGATTTAATTTATGAACTTTTTCTTAGAAAGTATTAATAGAACCATCAACTTCATTAATTTTTTATTTAGTAGATTACTGAATTTCTTACATCATTAAAAATTCAGGATCTTCTTTTAATTTATTTTAAATTATTTCTTCATCATCATCTTCATCAGGCAGTTGATTTTATTAGTTTTAATCTTCAGTCGTATTTTTATCATCATTTTAGGATATGATTTGACTATTTTTTTTTTATAAATCTATTATTGCTTTTTTATACATACTAATAGTTTTTTCTTTTTCAAATAAAATTTATTAATCTTAAAGCGAAGCTTTAATCGTATTATCGAATTCGATTTACAATTCTCGATAATACATATCTTTTTATTCAATTTATTTTTTTAGTTTTTAATTTAATTCTTAATATTCTTCAACAATATCTTTCTTTATATCGATATTAGTGTCTTAATTTTCCCATTTAAGTCTATATAAATCTCTTTCTTTTTAAATAGTCAAAAGTTGAATTTCAGCATTATAATTAATCTGTTTGTATGTCGAATTTTCTGCTTACAAATTCTTTATTTTTAGTTCGCATTCTTTTATTTTTTCCTCATTTTTATCATTGAAATTAATATTAGTTCCGAAATTATAATTCACCTTAATATTATATTAATCCAAAAGTAGTTTGAATTAATCATTTTCTTATTATAGGATTTAAATTTATTCTTTTAGTTTATTAATTAGAGCACTTTAGGGATCTCTATTGACTATTGGTTTATTTTTAATTTTCCTAGCTCTGCTAGCATATTTTAATGCATTCAAACTTTCTTCAAAGTTACTTTCAGCAGGTGAGACACATACGATCATTAAAGTGTTAGAATTACCTCCTAAACTATCTTATAAAATTCTTGTTAATTTAGAATCTCTATAAGGGATATGTTTACATTATATATCAGTAAGTGCAGAAATAACATTACCTAAAGCTAAGAGTCCCATATTAATATTAATTCCTTCTTTTAAAGTAGCTCCAATAGCTCCTGTTTTTTTAATACGTTCACTTCCTGCCAAATCTACAAAGTGAAATTTACTTGTAATAAAACTATTAATTTCTTAATTTTCTTATATATTTTCTTTAAATATTTAATGTAAAAATACTGTATAAATTGCATGTGAACGTGAACTAGATGCATTCATTAAAGTTGAACTTGTACTTCGTGAAAGAGCACCTTTTTCTAATGCTAAAAGCATATCTTGAGGAGAATTCACGTGTTCTTCAATCAATCCTTAAAGTGAAATATTACCATCAGATTCCTCACGAATAAATATATTATTATTATGGCTCTTTTTGGATTAAATATCTAACAAATCTATTATAAATTCATTATATATTTCGAAATATGATACTCTTATTTCTTTTTCTGTTTCTTTTATATTCTCAAATATCTCGTTTATTACTCGAGGAATTATTCCTAATTCGTATTCAGGAGAAATTTATTATGAAGATGTACCCATTGTATATGTTTTACCTGATCCAGTTTAACCATATGCTAAAATTGTTACATTTTAGCCTTAAAAAAATTTTACTACTAAATCTTAAACAGTTTCCTCATAAATTTTTTACTATGATGAATCTTAGTCATATATTTTATCAAAATCAAATTCTTTGTCTTTACCAATTATTAGTTTTGTTGTTGTCGCGCATTTTATGCAACTTTATTCACTTTCAACTAATTCTCTAGGTATAAATGGACGTATTCTAACTGCTACTTGCACACAGGAATCTTTTTTTTAGTTTTATTTCGGGAGTTTTTTTTAATTGTCGCTTTTTTTTTATTTTAGAAATTAATATTTTTGTTGATGTTCTTTTTTTTATTTTTTATTTTTTTATGATGTAATTATAATTTTATGTATTTTGAATTTTTTTAATCAAATATATTAATGTTTATAAAAGACATTTACTTTGATTGATTTTCAATCATATATGTTAAATTTGATATTACTGTTTTTTTATTTGTGTTTTTTTTTTTTGGATAGATTGTTTTATTATTTTGTTATGATTATTGTTTTTATATTTATATATATTTAAAGTTCTCAAGGTTTTTTATAAAATAAATAATATTTATGTGTCTGCTATATATAAAATAATTTAAAAATAATTTATTTAAAAAAACAATAAAAAAAGTATTATTTTTGGTAAATCAAACAATATCTAAAATTTACTAAATTAAAATTAATAAAACTAATAATGTAAATTATACAAAAATATAAAATAATGTCTAAATAAATAATATATATATATCTGATTTGTCAATAATTTTCTTACAATTTTTTTCATTGAATTTATTACTTAAATATAATAATTTTAAATACTCTATCAATAGTTTTAAATTCGAAAATTAAATGTTTAAAAATTCTTATATATTATTTTATTTAAATATATATATATATATATATATAATTATTAAATATATATCATTTATTATTATTAGTATTATATTTTTAAATCTAATATTTATTTGAAAATAAAGTTCAGACATCTATAATAAATTACATTGTTCTCATTAATTTTTTTATTAATGAAATTAATTTTACTGTTGCTTTATTAAAGATACTATAATTTAGATTCTTCAATTTAATTTTTTTTAATGCAAAATCTTTATATAATTCTTGAATTTTTTGTATATATTTTTTTATGTTTATAAATGTAAAATTTCTATTTTTTATAATAAACTTTGAAAGTAATGTTATTTTTTATATTTAAAAATATTATTGTATATATTTAACATATAATTTTAATATATTTTTTGTTTATTATTTTTAACCATATTAATTTAATTTTGAATAATTTTTTTTTTTATTCACTTTTATTTAAATATTTAATATTAATTATTAATACTTCTATTACGAATTCCAAATTTCATAAAATGTACTTTAAATTTATTTTTATTTAATTTTATTTGATTTCTTTTTGTTATTATTAAAACATTTATTCTATTTTATTAATAGATTTATAACTAAAAAATTTTAAACAATCATATATTTCTATCAAAATTAAAAAAATCCTATAAAATGAATAATTATATTTACACTTTTTATATCTTTTTTTTATTAAATTTACATTTTTTAAAATAATTAAGACATTTTCATATTTAAATTTACTCCATTTTTTAATTAATTCTTTTATATTGTGTTATACTTTTTTTATTAATTATATCTTATATTTTTTCTTTTTTTATTTAATTATTTCGTGTTCTATAAAACACTTGGATAAAACTTTCTAATATATTAATTTATTTTTTCAAAGTTTTATATTCGTTGGTTACTATAAGTTTTTGCTTTATTTTTATTAACTAAAAATATTTATTATTATATTTTATAAAGGATATGCTTCTTCTAAATTCTATTCTTATTATAATTCATTAAAATATTTTTTAAAGATTAACATTATATGCTTTTATGTTTATTATTTTTTTCTATATATTTAATTATATTTTTAAATCTAAATTAAATAAATTATGTTAAAGCATCTAAGGATTTTATTTAAATAGCTTACTTTATTCCTTAATTTCAGAAATTATTGAGCATTTGGAAGCTTGATTAAGTTAAATTGTTTGGATTTATAGATAATAAAGATATTCTATTATATTGAATAGTCAAATTATATTAACGTTAATTTTATATTTGTTTTATTTTAAACAAAAGTATAAATAGATTTCTGATTGAAAATAACATTAATAAAATAAAAATATGTAAATTTTATATTTAATTTATAAGTAAAAAGCATACAAACTTAATATAATTTTTTTAAAAAAAATATTTTTAATTTATAATAGAAAAGAATTAGAAATAGAATTAGAATTAAAATAAATTAACATAGTATATAAGATTCGAAAATAAATAAAGTAAAAGTAAGAGTATAAATAAAAAAAGTGATAAAATTTTAAAAATTAATTAATAATGATAATTATAATATGGTACTTATTAATAAGATTTATTTAAAAAAAAAAATTACTATAATATATAATTATTGTTAAATTAAGTAATTTAAAATGATTATTATTAATAACTTATTAAAAAAGATATAAATAAAATAATAATATCTATAAAATACATTGATTAAGAAATAAATAAGCTATAATTTAAATTATATGAATAAAAAAAAATGATTTATTTAAAGTATTTTATAATAGATTTTATATAAAAAATTATTTATCATCTTCTAATTTTAAAATAAAGAATTACTAAATTTGCTAAAATCAATAATATAATAAGTGCAATTAATAATAGTTTATTAAATGTTTCTCTATTTCTTACAATATTTATTAATCTATCCGTTACAATCAGATTTTCATTAATTTGTTGACCCTTTCAATAATTAAAAGTAAAAGTTTATAAATAAAGAAGTTAAAAAAAAAATTCACCTCTTTTTATATTTATAGTAAATCTTCCCTTTAGAATTATAATTATTGCTATGTGTTATCAGATACATCATTTGCATAGTATGCTTTTTTTAACATCTTGTCTATTTAACCTGATTATTCAAGCTATTTTTATGTTAGTGCATTTTATTTTTTGCTATCTGATTAATTATTTTTGTACTTTTTTAAATAATTAATATTTTTTTTTGTTATTTAAAACATCAATTTAATCTGTCTTTTAAGCATATAAATTCCATCTTTCTTTTGATTCTTAAAAGTTTTTTTCCGTATCTGCTAATTTTTTTTTATATCTTATAATTCATTTTTATATTATTTAATCTTTAATTTTTTAAAAACATTATTATAATTATAATTTTTATTTTGTTGAAATACCTTATTAGTATATTAAGTTTTTGTAATTTATGATTGTTTTGTATATTCTTTTTCCATTTCTTAAAACTTTATATTTATATATTTTTAATTTTTTTAATTTTTATAATGTTAATTGTTTTAAAAATTATGGATTTTATTAATTTATTATTTGTTTCATTTAATTTTTTTATAATATACATTTTTAGTTGAATATTCTAAGTTTTTTTCATTGCTTATATTACTTCATCCTTTTTATCTTTTTATTTTTTAAAATTTTGAAAAATAAGCAATAATATAAAAATATACTTTTTTTTTTTTTGTAAAGAATATATACATACCAAAAGAGACTTATGCATATGTATTTAATTATTTCTTTAATTATGAATAATATTTTTAATAATCCTATTCATAACTTTGTAATAATGATTGCATTTTAGAAATATTTAGTTCGAATTTTATTTATATAAAAATAGTTTTATATATTTTTTTTATTTTTTATAAAAATTATAAATAAAAAAGATAATAAAATTAGAAATTACACTAAATAAATTTATTTAATTATTTTTAATTTTTTTAAAAAAATAGAAAATAATAAATTATTTTATTATATAATTAATGACTATGTTCTAAATAAAAATTATTTGTATAAAATAATTTTTTTTAATTATCAATTAGAAATTTTACAAAATTGCATAATAAATTTAATAGTTAATTTTTTATTTTAATATATTGATATAATTACTTTACTCACTTTACTCAAGTATTAAAATAAAAGATAGTAATATATAAAAATCAAATAATAGTAAATTTATTTAATTTTTATATATTATATTTATTAATAAATAATCTTTTCTTATACATTCCTTTAAAATATAAAAATATTACAATTAATATTTATTAAAAAAAAATATTTTTAAAGTTAAAAAATTAACCAAATATTAAAAAAAAAAGTTAAAGCCAAAATTTTAAAGCAAGTGTGTTTATTAATTCTAATTATAATTAAAATAAATAAAAAAAAATTGAAAATAATTTTATAAGTTCATTAGGAGTTAAAAGAAAATATAACATATTAGTTAAAATAAAAAAGAAAATTTTGTATTTTATTATATAATATTAATTAGATTGTATATATGTTACTAAATAAATAAATAGTTTTTATTTTATTTAGCGGAGAATATATTCTATACTTTAAAAAAAAAAAACTTAAGTAAAAAATGAATTTTTATAAATTGATTGTGTTATTTTAAACTTTAAAAAATAAGTTAGATTTATTTAATCTTTAAGCAAAATTTATAAATAATTATAAAACTTTAATAATTAAAATAATATTTAGAAACATAAAATAATTATTTTTTGAAAAAGTAATACTTAATTATTTTATTTAATGTGTATGTATATATATAATTGTTTACCTAAAAATATTTTTTTTCATTTTTATTTAATATATTTTTTTAATTAAATTATTAAATCTCCATCATTTGCTAATTTTTTTACTACATCTAATCCTCCAATAAGTTCACTTTCAACATATAGCTAAGGAATTTAATTAAACCCTGATTTTTTTTTTAGCTATTCAGAAACCCCAATATCAAAATCAACGTTAAAGAATTCGAATTAAATATTCAACTTATTTAAAATTTCTATAAATTCTTTTGATTTTTCACAATTAGAATCATTAGGAACTCCATTAATAAAAGCTAAAACATTATAATTTTTTAATAAAAATTTAATTTTCTTTTCACTATCTAAAACCCATTCACTTCCTGGGATTTTTTCCAATAGTTTATCTTCTTTTTCTAATTTTTTTACTTCTTCCAA